GAATGAATATTGGAGGAATCTGCATCCAAGAATGCCTGGATTAAGCACTTCAAATTCTGTTCTCATATAAACAAAGAAGAATTTTCAGATTCCTTTAATTAAGGAGTAAAAACGTACAATTAGTTATACCCTTAATTAATTATGGTATAGAATTGGTAATTTGGTATACTAAGTGTAATTTAGTCAAACCTTAAACATTGAGGGTAATAAGGTTTCCTATGTGGCATAGGAATGTAAAAATTCCTTTGCAAAAACAGGATTACTTGATACCGCCTTTTAAATTTTTATCCCATTAAGAAAAATCTAGGGAAAATAACATTCGGTGAGAATTTTGGAAAGCCTGGCAATCCCCAGAATTTCTCATATGGTGATCACTAGAAATGCCACAAAATATAGCAATCACCAATTTTTTTTTCAAATCGTGATTACTAGGATTTACCACGAAACCTGATAGATTGCCGAGATTTTTTAATATTGTAGCTGAAAATTCTGAATCACCATAACTATCTGTTAAGGAAAATTATATTGCTAGGAGCCTTACCGATATTCTGTTTGGAGGCTATTTTCCCAAGACTTTTCTTAACCGGGCCAAAATTTGAACGGTGGTCCTAAAAAGGTCCATCCAACGTAATTTCTTGATCTTTCTTCACATAAAATCCGGGATAGGTTATTTATAATCTTTCTTTATTTTTGGTTCGCTTGCATATAATTTACTTCCTTTGTCCCAATTTATGTGATACCTTTTTTTAAGCCTGTTCCCAAAAGAATGTCACCCTTCTATATTAGAAATAATAACTTAAAAGTTTCTACTGTATCCTTACAGAGATAATTTATAGCCACACAAATACTTAAGATTTATTTTAAACTATAAGTCTCAAAGATCTGTATTTCCTTTTTAAATTTCGTGTCCAGTCAAATGATGACACATAAATTGGGACGGCAGAAGTACATGATATTCGCCAATCAAAATAATGCAAAAGAAGTGACTTGTTTTAAACAATATATAAGTTAAGTTTTGAGGGGCTCAACTGTCTTAAATCTCAAATTACTACTTTGAGCCTTGACCATGCTTTTCATAACTATTTTGAATTTAAAGTTCGATTCTCAACATATACTTGTATCCCTTTACTAGCTACTATCTCGAACCTCCTCTAAGAAGTAATCTCTCCGTTTCAATTTAGATGACACTTTCTTTATTAATTCGTTTCAAAAAGAATGACAGATTTCTATATTTAAAAATAATTTAACTTTAAACTTTTCATTCTCCACACTTTACCCTTAATGAGAAGCTTTTATAGTCATACAAATATTATGGCCCCACCAAACTTTTTTTTTGGTCAAAATTAAAAAAAATTATTTCAACCAAGTATAATTATGTACATCCACTAGTTACATTGGACTTATAACTAGTCTTCCGAAATCTCACTACCTATTTGTACAGGTATAAGTTCCTCTTTCTAGTTTCTTAACTACCTCTAGATAGAATAACTATTCAAGGACTCTAAGACTCTCTTCCATTGCTGAAATGTTGTCCTCTTGTGTGCAACTGTATGGTTATCTCTTTAAGAATCTCTTGACTCTCTTTCTTTGTATCCTGGAATCTTCTTGCATTTCTTTCACTCCACATATGGCAAATAGTTGCAGCATATAGGAATTTAATGATCTGTGCTCGTGGTCTGTTGTTTCTCATTTTCCTGCTTATCCATTCAGTTTCTTCCTCCCAGTTGCTAATTCTCCTCTTCTCCCCTAGCCACCTAGTATTGTATTCCAGATTTGGGATGAGTAGGAGCACTGAAAGAACAAATGCTGCAGGTTTTCCTCAGCTCCAGTATTGCATAGGACACAATCTGTTTGGACGTGTATACCCCATTTCTGCAGTCGATCAACAGTAGCCAGTCGACCCATAAGTGCCAGCCATAGGATGAACTTGTGTTTTGGTATAGTATTTGGTCCCGGCACTAGTCCTCTCCATTGAACTTTCTGATACTGTGGTAGAAATGATTGATAAGCTTTTTTAATTATGAATTTACCTTTGTCACAACAATTTTGTAATGCCATATTAAATTCCATGTTCAGAAACCATTTCTTTGCATCCAATATTTTCCTTACCAGCCAGCAGGCCCGTGCAGGTGTATTCAGATGTTGTACCTCTTTCCCTTTGATATAGTATGTATGGATCCAATTTATCCAAAGTGCATCTTTCTTGGTTGCTACAGCCCATAATAACTTGCTGATAGCTGCTTTGTTCCATGTATGGAACTCTATAATGCTTTGTCCACCTGCTGAATATGGTTTACATAATATCTCCCATGCAACCAGTGCTCTCCTTGAGCTCTCATGACTGCCTGTCCATAGGAATATTTTACAAACTCTAGTTATGAGTTGGATGACTTTTTTTGGAATTAGAAATACCTGAGCCCAGTAGGTTTGCATCTCAAACAACACACTTTAATAAGTTGCACCCTTCCACTATATGATAAGTACTTAGTGGACCAGCATCTTATTCTTGTAATCATTTTCTCAACTAATGGTAGGCATTGTTGAACTGTGATCTTCTTTGAGGACAAAGGAACCCCCAAATACCTGAATGGAATCTCTCCCTCTGAGAATTGCATTTCATTCAATAACCGGTCCTTCAGTTTTGAACTAACCCCTGCCATATACAATGAACTTTTTTCCAAATTAGCCTTGAGTCCAGATACTGCTGAGAAGTTGTTGAACTGTTGAAGCATCAACTGTATAGAAATTGGATTAGCTCTACAACACATAATTAAGTCATCAGCAAAACATATGTGGACTATCTCTAACTTGCTGCATCTTGGGTGGTAGTTGAAATCTGGATTGTGTCTCAGCTGATTGAGGGATCTATTCAAATACTCCATCACAAGAACAAACAAGTATGGAGACATTGGGTCTCCTTGTCTTAGACCTCTCTTGGCTTGAAATCTAGGTGTAAGTCCTCCATTGAATAGCAAAGTGTAGCTCACTGTGCTTACACACTCCATAATTAGACTTACAAATTTCCCAGGAATCCCAAATTCTAGTAAGACCATTCTGAGAAAGCCCCATTCAACTGTATCATATGCTTTTCTCATGTCCACCTTTACTAGGCATTTAGGAGACACTCCCTTTTGTGTGTATCCCTTCATCATTTCATGAGCCATAATCACATTATCCAGAATATTTCTCCCCTCAATGAATGTTGAATGTGAAGGCCCCACTAGATAGTCAATTACTAGTTTCAACCTAGTAGTAATGACTTTAGCTATCAGTTTGTATAGTGTAGTGCAGCAGGCTATGGGTCTGAATTCCTTCACAAAGGTGGGGTTTTTTACTTTTGGAACTAAAGTTACAGTAGTGTCATTTACCTCCTTCAGCAGTTTACCAGTTTGAAAGAATTGCATTATTGCCTTAGTCACCTCATTTCCTATCAAATGCTAGTATTGCTTGAAGAATTCAGTTGGAAATCCGTCAATGCCAGGGGCTTTATCAGCTGGTAGGTCCTTCAAAGCCTGAACCACTTCTGTTTCTGTTACTTCCTGTATAAGGAGCAGTTTCTATTCAGTATTGAGACAAGGTCCATCTCTCGCTATGGTTGGGTCCAGACACGACATTTCTACTGCATTTGTGCCCAATAGTTTCTGAAAGAAGCTTATAAATTCTTTTTGGATTAAAGCAGGCTCATACAATTGAATTCCATCTTCTGTGCAGATTGAGGATATTCTATTTCTCGCTTGCCTTGCTTTCAATGCTGCATGAAAAAAATTTGTGTCCGAGTGTCCATAAGCTAGCCATGTTGCTCTAGACTTCTATCGGAGCACTTTCTCATGTGTAGTTGCCCATTTTTCCAGTTGTACTAGAATCTCCTTCTCAGTTGTAATGAGTTGCTCATTGAACAGGTATGTATTTAATTCCAACTGTACTTGTTTTATTTGTCTTGCAGTTCATTTAGCTTCCTCTCCAAAGTTGACATTTATTTATTCATCTGGGAGGTTTCCAATTCTATTAACTTCAATTTCCTCCAAATTGTGTACATGGTATATCCTTGTACATGTTGTTCCCAAATTTTATGTACTGTTTCCTTCAAATTCTCCTGAGACAATAGCACATTAACAAGTTTGAATGGCCTTGGTAGTTTCTGCTTGGCCACCTCTGTTCTGATGATGATTGGTGAGTGGTCTGAACATTCCGGATGATGGTAGAATGCTTCCAACTTTTCATACCTCATAAACCATAGATCATTCCCAAATGCCCAATCAATTAAGCTGTATATTCTTTTCTTTGCCTCTCTCTTATTGCACCATGAGTAGGTACAGCCTTTTTTTGCTTAGTTGACCAAGACAAATTTCATGAATGCAGTTTTGAAAGTCCTCCATCTCTGATTGTTTCACAGGCAGTCTATTAACCCTATCTTGCCGGAGAGAATTATATTAAAGTCCCCTAGTACAACCCAAGGATCTGTCATCAAGGTACTAATTTGCTTCAGTTGTCTCCATAGCTCTTGTCTCTTATTTTGTGTAATCATCCCATATACAAAGGTTATGTCACAGGCAAATTGTGACTCTTTGTCCTCGACCTTACAGTACACCGGTTGCATATGAGATACTACGATGTTTACTGAAACCTTGTGAGGTTTCCAGCAAATCCACAATCTACCTCTAGGGCAGACTGTATAATCTGCATATATCCCCCACTCAGCTCCTAACTTTCTTTTTGTTTTTTCTGCTCTTTTTTGCTTTATTTTAGTTTCTAGGCATCCCACCAATACCACTTTATTTTTAAGCAAAAAGATTTCAATCCCTTTTGCTTATAGGGCTTGTTCAACCCTCTTATATTCCATGAGCAAATGATCATGGAGGATCTGTGTTGCCAGTACCCCCCTTTACCATGTTGGTATTAGCTTTCTCAGGTTGTATCCTTAGCACATTGAATCTATTTTGCTGAAGGAATTGCTCAACATCTTCAGTTACTATTGAAGCTCTTGACCTGTTATCTTCCTTTTATTCCATCTTCTGTTTGTCTCTGTTATTGCATCTTTGAATTTCCTGACTCTCCTCCATAAGATTCACCACCTTATGGTTTTCCTTTGGTCCTTCATTTGCCTTTTCAGCAGCTTCAGCAGGTGGTCCTGCACTAGGCTTGGCCTTCCATTGTTGTTGTTTGGCTTTCTTCTGTTGTCTCCTTGGTTGTTGCTGATCATTTATTCCTTACTGTGTCTTGAATTGTGCTTTGCAGTTTGTTTTGTGCTTACCAATCTGCAAGCATTCCTGGCAATATTCTGGTTTCCACTCATACTCAATCGATTGCAAAATGCAGCTACCATCAGGCTCCTCTAGTGTTACTGATTCAAGAAGGGGCTGAGCCACATCCATTTCAATGAGTATCCTAGCATAGGAGATTCTTTCTTCTTTTGCTGTGAGCTTATCAGTACATATTGGTTTCCCCAAACAACTAGCTATTCGTCCCAGATTTTCTATCGCCCAATACTGGATGGGTAAGTTTGGAAACACTATCCATACTGGTATTGCATTCAGTGGTTCTTCAGCTAGTTTGAAGTATGGTACCCATTGTTTCAAAATCATAGGCCTATTGTTGTAAGTATAAGGCCCATTCTGCATAATCTTCAATTTGTCTTCTTCATCATCAAATCTAAATATGAAGTAGCCTTCATCATGGAGATAAACCTGCGGAGTTGTGACAGTATTCCATACCCCATAGACAAATTTGAGCATATCTTTAAATGAAGGATTACCCCCAATTACATAGCCAATTAGGGCTGACCTCCATTTTTGATTTTGCAATTCTATGGCATTAGCACTAAGCTTGACAACTTTAATTCCATCTTTCAGGGTCAGGGGGAAGTAATTAAGTTCCTACCCTAGATGTTGAGCTCGATTACCTTTGACTATAGCCGCCATGGTTGGCTTGATCGCACTAGAGTTTGCAGAGAATGTTAATTTCCTTGCTGCATTTGAGTTCCTGGTTGCTGGTCTTCTACCTCCATCTGTTGCTTGTCTGGAGCCTCTGATTGATCTCAATTTAGTGCTTGTAGTATCGTTGGAGCACTACCCATACCCATCATCCATTGCCCTATTTGAATTGGGGCTAAGTTCTGTGGAACTCCTGTCTCTGGTGCAACAACTCTAGATGATTCATCTTTAGTTGAGGAAAGATTGGTGTCAACCACCGGCGCTGGAATCTGCTTCTTCTTCTGGTGTGCCATGGATGGTGCACGTTAGCTATTTTCGCTTAACATGCGCCTTGAGAGCTTCTCTATCCTCTGTTAGATTTTACTGGTACATCCCACCAAAATTCTTGGATATTAATACTGTTATATATAAGTTACATTCGTCTAGATGAATTTGAATAAAACTTTTGCCCTTAAGCTTTTAGCATCACATGTTTCAAAAGTCTTTTTTTTTCTTAAATTTTTTATTAAGTCAAATAACATCATCTAAATTGAAACGGAGGGAGTAATATAAAACAAAATATTAAAGATACCTAGTGAACACAATGATTAAGCAAATTTTATTCAAATTCATTTAGACGAATGTAACTTATATATAACAGTATTAATATCCAAGAATTTATTCTATCTGCTTATCACTTCTCATTTCTGATTCTGGCTAATATTGCTTAAACAAAAAGTACAAAATCAAAGTATTTATTTACGAGAAAATTTAAGATTTTGATGCATGGCACCAAGCATGCGAAGAACAAGATGAAGAGTAGACTCTTTTCTTATGGAGTAATCCTCCACAGTGCCTTTCTCCAGTTGCTTGCCACCAAATATCAGCCTCTGATGATCTGTTTCAATCCCTGTTTTTTCATAGATCTTGATTTTCAAATTATTAATGGTGTCGAAGGTTTCCACGTCTAGGGTTATCGTCTTGCCCGTGAGCATTTTCACGAATATCTGCATCGTACCTAAGTAAAAGAAAAATCAATCATCACGATCAGTGTGTAATAAGGTCAGTGGTAAGCTAGGAATTTCTTCGAGGGTGATCAAACTTGAAAGAAGTAAAAATAATTCTCCAACAAAGCGTCTTCAATATATGTTATATATATACCTCGAAACCCTAATATTTTACCTATATATACAATGTAAAACATAGCTTCGCCCCTGAGTGAGGTTATCAGAAAAACTTTATTAATCAAAGAAAGATGAACCGCCACCATAACGAGGCTATTGTGATCTTTATTATAACAGAACAAGTATTGTTCGCTTTATCGCTTGATGTTTATTAGCTACTTTCAATTCGTTAAGCCAAGCAGGCTCAATATATATATATATAGTGTAAGTATTGAACTTCTGACTTGGATCTTGAACAAAATTTCTTGGTTTGACTTTTTTTGTATCTTTCTTTCTCTTTTCCTAATTTTGAAGGAATGGGGAAGGAGGGTTGGGGTGGGGGGGAGAGGAGAGGGATATTATTACATATTCGATCCCTCACACACCATGTGAGCTATACTCTTTAACCCAATGTGTACATATCGTTCAATATATATAGTAACAGTTGATATCTATTAGCTACTAAATTGCTTTTTTCATTTATACTTTTTGGACTTACTACCACCTGTGACTTAATATTACGAATCAATACATACAAATGATGTTAAAATAATCTTGCGTGTACGAAATATGAACCTCCTTTTAAACATATTAAGCATTATACTATTAAGCAGCTGGAGCCTTGGAGCAACGGTAAAATTATCTCTGTGTGATTATTTATAGGTCACAGGTTCGAGCCGTGAAAGCAATCACTAATGCTTGCATTAGAGTAGGCTGTCTGCTATATTAAATATTATACTATTAAGTCGGAGTCTTGGAGCAACGGTAAAATTGTCTCCGTGTGACTTATAGGCAGGGGCGGAGCTAGAGCGCCGCCAGCGGGTTCGGCCGAACCCAGTAGCTTTGGTTCAAACCCTGTATTTGTCTTAAAAAATCTATTAAATATGTATAAATTATTAATTTAGAACCCAGTAACTTAAAACGATTAGAATCCCGAACCCATAAGCTTGAAATTCTGGCTCCGCCTCTGCTTATAGGTCACAGGTTCGAGCCGTGAAAGCAATCACTAATGCTTGCATTAAAGTAGGCTGTCTATATCACACCCCTTGGGGTGCGCCCTTCCCCGGCCCCTGCGTGGACGCGGGATGCCTTATACACGGGGCTGCCTTTTCTTTAACTATTAAGATCTCCACTTTTAGGCTTGAATTTTGGATAACTCTGAACGAATTCTCCTCATGTTTATGTATATAACTCGACATATATAACTAATATCATGGAACACAATTGAATGATCAAGACCAAAAAAAAAAAAAAAAAAAAAAAGTGAGAGTACCGTAGAATGCAGAAATTAAACTTGGAGCAAACAAAGGCCAAGAACAAGAAGAATATAATATGTGTATAATGAATTGCCTGTTGAGGTTTGTGCTTAAACAAGATGGCTTCTTATATTTGCTAATTGTGCATTTAACAACTTTTTAAGAAATGCCTTAAAATGTCAACTAGTGACTAAGTCATGAATTATCATATCCAGCACGGTTTGACGTGTATGCACAAGTATTCTTCGTTTTCATGTTTTAATAAACATACGTTTATTGACAAGCTGCAATTTAATATTTGAATTATAGGTCAATAACCGTGGAAGCAATTCCTAATGCTTATATACGAAAATCTAAACTATAGCATACGAAAATTTGAGAATCATCCTGAATTCTTATTTTATGGCCCGCTAAAATGACAAGAAACGAAGAACGATCATGGCGAAATGATGGCTATTGTTCATTAGGTCGTTTTTAATGGGCCCGCAAAATTTATGGAGATTCGGGGCCGATCGCCCGAATTCATGAAGATGGCGTGCACTATAACACACGAAAATTTGGGAACCATCCTGAATTACTGTTTTATGGTTGTAAAACGCTAAAAAAGGAGGAATGATCATGATGAAGCAATGATTTGGGTAATACCACTCACAACTAGTAGTTGATGAGGTTACTTAAGAATCACTTGTGCTATATTTTCATTCTAAAATGGAGCTTCTAGAAAATAGTAAATTTATCTAACTTGAGCAACAATAAAATGGGACTTTCATGCTTACCAAAACTTTCAGTTTTATAATACACACTGGCAATAAAAGGTGTGAGAATATTGTGATCATTAGTTATATTCAAGAATGTGTACTTTAGTTCTTTTTTTGTTTTAATACCACATAAAGCATGTCATCATAATTAGAGATATTCATGGCTTAATTTGCCCAAAATTAAACATCAGTTTTTAGGTTTAATCCTCATCTCTGTTTTTAATGACGTCTGAAAATACCCTAATATATATTTGAGACGCACGTGCAGTGCGGAGCTACAGTACCGGAAGTGAGTTCCGAACCCAGTAACTTTGGTTCGGACTTTGTATTTGTCTTAAAAATCCATTGAATAATGGAGTAGCCACATATATTGAAGGGTGTTCAACCGAACACCCGTCGTCAAAAAATTATACTGTATATATAGAAACTTATATTGTTGATATAGGTCAAAATTTATTTTTTATGTATATATTAAATTTTGAACACCCTTTACGAAATTTCTGGCTTCGCCACTGCTATTGAATAATGTATAAATTTTTAATTAGAACCCAATCATCTGCATACGTGCTTATATAACTTTAGTGTTTTATGTCCTAAAATAATATCGTTAACCTTCGATATAACATGGCGTTACTTTTTTTATCGGGTGTCTCCCGAAGGGACTATAACATGGCGTTACTCACTTTTTGATAATTTTCAATGTAAAATTTTATGTAACATTAATCAAAAATTAACACATCATACGTCGTTAATCACGTTCCCCAAATAAACACTTAACAATACACTTTTCTTACTCTTTAATAAGCGTAGAGTGGAAAATAAAATATAATACGATTTCAACAAAGTGAGGAGGGTTTCGAGATCGGTATTTGGCTAGGATCTTTTACATGTGTCAAAATTTTAGTAGTAATAGATTTAGAATTAATTGGGTTATTATCACGACACTATATAGCCGCCGTAAAAATCACAGCCGAAAAATATAAAAATTTATATATTTTTTGTATATATATACATTATGTATGTTATATACAAAAACTATACAAATTTGATACACTTTTTCGGCTATCAGATGTAATAGTTTCTGGCACGGGCTAAAGGTGATAATACCCGGAAAAATGTCATTGTATAGCCCCTGTAAAAATAATAGCAAAAAAAATACAACATTTGTACATTTTTTGTATATATATACACATTCTATATGTTATATACAAAATTTATATACTTTTTTGGCTACCAGATATAAATAGTTTCTGGCGGGGTTAGAAGTGATATTGTGGATCCGCCTTTAAAAATGAGTAAAGTTTATTTATCAGCTATATATATCAGAACCGCGTGCATGCATGCATTTACGTAGATCCATTTGTGTAGCTGCAAGATGGAAAACCTGGAAAAGATGATGAGGAATAAGGGAATAGTTTGTCTAGCGTATTACTATCAAGAGGACAATTATCATAACACTAAGACTAAATTCAATTATCTATCCCTCGTTGATAGCTTTCTCAAAACGTGCTCCAATGCAGCTAAGGAGTTTGATAAGTATATATGTTCTCTCTTTCTTTTCCAAATATATATAATCTTTTGACAAACCAAGTATTCTCTTGATTTTGTTATTAATTATATGTGTATTTTCCCTTTTTATTTCTTTTCTTTTGGATATCTTGGTGCTTCCCCTGTAATAGGATCTGACATAGTACGAATTTAGATTAGTCGGACGAATAGATATGTCCTAGGGCGGAGCTAGCCTTGCAATTCAGTAGCTTTGGTCCAAACATTATATTTGTCTTAAAAAATCTATTGAATTATACACAGATTGCTAATTTAGAACTCAGTACCTTAAAAAGACGAATTCGAACCCATAAGCTTCAAATATTGACTCTGCCTCTGGATATATCGGACCAGGGACGGACGCACGTTCAATGAAGCGGTGTCTCGAAAATCTTACTATATATATTTTAACTGTGAGGAACGGTTAATAAGCAGGAAAAAACGACACCACTTCGCATAGATTGTCTCCTGGTGTGTTGGTTATGTTCTTGACTATGCTCTAAGAGGTTCGAACCTTAACTAGCATGTAATTTTTGTAAATATTTGAAATCGGGGCCTTTTCTAACTTAAGACTCGACAAAACGAATGGACTAAGACTATTTCTTGTCTAGAAATATAATAATTAAAGTTAATTATTCTCGTTCTTCTTTAAATTTCGACACCTTTTACAAAAGTTCATGCGTACATCCTGTGTCGGACGGTTATATTTGTTGTTGAATATGTGCAGGACTCTATGGAAAATAATTTCAACACCCATTGGCGATGCAAAACCATACAGTTTTAAGGATTTGAAAGATATGACCCTCAACTTTCGCTTAACGTTTAAAGATACCAGGCATGGGAGATTATTCATCTACAGAAATGATGAAGCTATTACTATTTGTTGAATTGTCCCACATCGGTGGGATTTGAGGTCCTTGGTCTCTTTATATGGTCTTGATCAATCCTTACCTCATAAGCTAGCTTTTGGGGTTGAGTTAGGCCCAAGGTCCATTTATCATGGTATCAGAGTCAGGACCATCCCAATTATTGTTACCGATGTTTGGGCCCCCATTTATGTTGTCCACACTCCAGTTTGCAGACCTGGGCGTGAGGGATTTGAGGTCCTTGGTCTCCTATATGGTCTTGAGCAATCCTCACCTCATAAGCTAGCTTTTGGGGTTGAGTTAGGCCCAAGGTCCATTTATCACTATTAAAACATGGGATTTCTTTTGGCCATCTAAAATGAGCTATGTTGATCATCCAACTAGATTTTGTGTAAGTTAAGCATATCTAGTTTTGTTGGATTGATCAAGTTTTTGTCATCTATTTTATGGTTTTTACGATGCTATTATTATCTCTATGGTTTCTGTTGACGATACTGATGAATTATCTCTTCTTGTTTTATTTCTGTCCTCCTGAGCCGAAGGTCTATCGGAAACAACCTCTCTCTCCTATCTGGATAGGGGTAAGGTCTGCGTATACACTACCTTCCCCGGACCCCACTTTGTGGGATTTTAGTTGTTGTTCTTGTTATTGTTGGATTGATCAAATTTCTCTTTAATTTATGTCTTTAACATTTTTTGCTAAGCCATTTGGAATATATTTGCAGAGTGAGGTTAAAATACTGACTGATGAAAACCGGCATCAATATTTGATGAAGTTAAAGGGGTTCTGTTTTCAATATAAACTCGCAGTTGTTTATGATGAAAAACCAGATAAATATTTGTCGGATGTGCTTTGTTCTGGTATTTGATTAGCTATTTAAAGAAATATTCTCCTGCTATAGTTTGTTGGCTACTAAATTTAGTAGTTTTGTGTGTTTTGATTTTGACTTGTCATCTGTTACTTGTATAGGCAAAGACTTTGGATGGGATGATAGAATGAAGGTAGCAACTCAACTTTTCAATTGGTTGCATGAGAGACAATTTGCATTTGGTGGTATGGAACCTTCTAGCATAATGATTGACAAGGTAACACAAAGGCGGATCCAGGATTTGAAGTTTATGAATTTTACAACGATCTCAAATTAATATACAATAATAACTGGATTCACTATCAAATATTTACAGATATTTATTGAATTTCTTAATACAAATACAGGATTTGAGCAAAAGTTATTGGGTTTATATTATTAGAACCACTGTTGTTACCAGTTGTTATCTGTTAGAATTAGTTCTTATCTTTAATGCTTATCCTTAGATTAGATATAGATTTAGAGTTCTAGTTTCAGTTCATATTTATCATTTAGTTAGTTAGCTTTTGATAGTGTTTTGATTTGAATAACTCTCCTAATTCAAGAAGTACTCTTAGGAAGACTTGTATTTAAACTGAGCTTGGCCTTCAATATAGATACAGTTTTCCATCATATCTTTGAGTGTTTATAAGGTATCAGAGCCTATACAACTCTAACGAGCACTAACCCCATAACTTATAAGCTAGGTCCACCCCTGCAGTTGAACCCCATAGACGACCTCCTCGTTGGCGTTTTACAAGTTACTATTTAATTGACTTGCAGGGGCGTAGGTAGGTAGATGCAAGGGGGTTTGTACAGTATGGTAAGGAAGCAACTTGTCCAGCTTATTTTGAGACTTTATATACTCCAACAGTTTTGTTTTGATGGTATTGGTGCTTATTGTTATTCCCTCCTTGTACCTTTCCTGAACCTTTTTTCCTCTTTATCTTTGTATCTTTTCTGAGCCGAGGGTTTATCGAAAATATCCTCTCTACTTTCTCTATAGGTAGAGGGTAAGGACAGCGTACACACTACCCTCCCCAGACTCCACAGATGGAATTTCACTGGGTTTGTTGTTGTTGTATAGCTCAAACAGTTGCTTAATATGTATCA